GTTTTTGCAATAGTAATCCCTTACTTTACTCGTTACTTGAAAAAAGTAATCGGATTACAGTAACGCATTACAAGTAACGCGTTACTGCCCATCTCTGGTCACGATACTGGAATTTCAAACTTGTCAATACCCAGGAAGATACGCAAAGCCATTTTTGGTGCCATGGGCGCGGGGGCTGCTCCTGTATCTAAGTACTAGTAGCCATAGCTACTAGCTGCGTTCACTTTATCAAGGAAGTTAGATGCCTTTGGTTTGCTAACAAGGTAAAACTATACCACACCAGCAGCAATAATATGCAAGGCCCATTTTTCTTTAGCTTTGAACCACTCCTGCAGCACTTACAGGTAGTTTTGTCAGTACTGTATGTGACTTATTAATCGAGTCACAAATACACAACAGTTCACAGGGCTCTAGAATGAAACCAAATTTGTCAATGGTGCAACTAAAAAAAAATAAAAAATCTTAGGTCGCACTGGTGCGACCAACTGTTCAAGTAACAAAAAAAAAAAAGAAAAAAAAGAAAGAAAAGTCTTCGCAACTCTGAAAGTCTCCGTGTGGTCAACAGCAGACACACATTATGCCCCTATCGTGGTCTAAACCAATCAGAGATAGTTAGGGGCGGTACCTCTCTGATTGGTTGTGGTCCAGATATTCATGTAGTCCTTCGTGTGTACGTTTGAAAGTGCAGGGAGATAGATCGATGTGAGTAGCTTGAATTTAACGATATTGATTAATTAAATCCTGAATCGACTTTTAAATATAAATGTATTTTGCCAGAATCTCAGGTTAAGGCTCACAAAACTATTTCAACAACCACCAGCAAATGAGAGCAGGTAAACGGATTCCACGCAAAGACGTAAACACAGAGCGCGGACCCGACGCATCAGAATCAGCTTTCTCTTTCTTGGCTTTCTCACCCGACGACACGTACACGGCATCGGGGCTGAAAGCCGACAGCTCACTGAGTCTGATGCGTCGGGTCCGTGCTGTGTTTACGTGTTTTTTGCACTAGATTCTGAGCTGCAGGTTTTATCTCTCTCCAACCAAAGTTCACCGAGCCAACAGCAAAAGAAGATCCAAACTACAATTCACATTTGATAAACATCATCATGGACTCTCTCTGACTTTTGCCATTTTGTTTCCACCATGATTTAAAAAAAAAACAAAACAAAAACACTTCATGCACAGCTCTCTCTTTTAAGAACAGTTTCCTTCTCAAATCTCTGTTTTTGGCATTATTCATTCGCTTATTACCCACCAGTCTACCGTTGTTTACAGCACTGTCGGCCGCTGTGGTTTATTTATTTTTTTTACTTACATGTCCTCGGACAGGAAAGCCTAATTTCTGCTGCCCAATACTGAAGAAATTTAAAGAAATTATGCAAAATTGCAGAATATTTTTAAGATTATCTGCTATAAAAAGCCAGGCCAGAAAAATCTCCTTCATGTTTTTCTGAGTTTTATTCTCAGTTACTTTGACACAAAGGCATCTGCTGTGATGCTCACAATTCTGATGAAGTCTCACATGCATCAGTACTGATATAATATTTCTGACTATCTAAGGCAAAATTGAATCGAATCGAAACCTTGTGAATCGGAATCGAATGGATTATAGAAATCAGTGATGATACCCAGCCCTAGTGAGTAGCCTAGGCCCGACAGAATTGGATGTAGAGCTATGGGTAATAAGAAAAGATGAAAAGAACTATTGATAACTTTTTAAGTTAAGTTAAAGCCTGATCCGTCTGAAATTCATAGCCAGTGCTCTGACACGGTGTCATCAATCTCTGAACGCTGAAAAAGCACAGTGTATCCAGAAAATACATTATATGTCATGATAAATGCACTGCCCAAGTGTCCCCTCTCCCCACTGCCTTTCAGCGGCAGGCAGCAGCAAACAGGTCGTCAGAGGAGGCCGCTGTGATCATCAAGTTTAACATTGTCTACAATATTGCCAAAGAGTGCCAAAGCACTTCAAGCACAAGCACAAGATTGTTATTTAATCATTTACAAATGAATATTGTCTCTATGGACAGCAATTTACCCCCAAAAAAGTGCACATGTAAAACTGTGGTGTTAAGCGATGCGGTTGAAAAATTTGGGTGCGCCTAAGAAAAAAAATTAAGGCGCACCAGTGCAACTGTGGCAAAACATTAGTCTAGAGCCCTGGTTCAGGACAGAGTACATGTTTTACAGTTTTACTACACTGCTGCCATGTTGAATTGTTAAGTCAGGATTGACAGGCCTGTTCCAAGTTTCAGAAATATAAATCCAAACTGAGGCAGTATTCCAGCTGAAAATTCAAATTTGGAATACGGGATTTTTGACTTCCCACTTGAAATAAAATGCAGCAAGAAGGGCATCCGTTGTGCCCTTCTTTATCTGGCCTTGTGCAACTCGACTCTTTGTGTCTACCTAACATTAATGTGTGCGCCAACGTTAGCTCCAATATTCATGATAACCGTTTTTAATACTGTTGTTGAAACTACTGACCTCTTGAATTTCCTCTTGAAGTGCTGTTCTGTGTTGTGAATGTCAGTTGAGGAGAAAAAACTTCATGCAAATTCATGTTATAGATATGATAAGCCACAAAAAGTAAAAAAAAAAAAAAAATAATACACTGACCTATCTCTCTCTTCTATGATAACTAAAGACATGTTTGCCACAGTATAGCTGAAACTGTTGTGAACTTCTGCAGTACACATGCAAAGGTGGAGCAATGTGTTTCCCATTTCAGATACTTGCTCTTTTGGGGGAGGGGCAAGAGAACCACCATCTCTACAGTTACAAAATTCCTACATAGCTTTCTTAAAAGAATTAACATTAAATTTAAAAGAATTAAAAATTATATTAAAGAAAAAAGATTATAGAAGAGATTTCTGTCTGGTTTTAGTTTCTAACAGATATTCTGACATTTAGAAACAATATTTAAATGCTTTGCCTATCAGAAAAAAAATATAGATTTCCTTACAACACAACAACAGTAATTGGCTCAAAATGTGTAGCAGGTGTTGCATTTGCCCAGGCTCTGCTCCATTTCTACTACACTAAACAGAAAAACAATAAATGCTTAAGTTTCAACACAATTAAAAGCAAATAGGCAAAATAAGCCTTACGATCTGGTGACTAGTATTCCCTACAAAAGCAGAAAATATATTCAGTATGCTACCAACCAGCTTTAGTGTACTGTGCTAAAACTCAAAACATCTGCATTCATAGTAATTTACAGAGCAGTAACTGACTATACTAAAGTCACAGGACAACCACGATATAGACCATGTTACATAAAGTCTTGTTTACTGCTGATTGAGCCTGCCATACCTGTGAAATCACTGACAACTGAATGACCAGCAGTATTTATACATCTCCGGTTTCAGGCTACTGGTACTTATGCCTGAAATATGAACCAGCTCTGTGCAGTCCACACACAACATGTGTACATGAGACATCCTAGTCAAGACACAAACTTTTTTATACACACTGTGTTACAGTGTCACCAACTGTACTTATAAATCATAAATATATGAATTACACTAATGTTTGCATATGGGCCTTTTTGAATGTTTTCTCTGCACAATTTTATCTGAAGTTAAAATCATGTGTATGCTTTACCAGTTATGCTGGAATATGTCTAATACAAAAACAAATACATTTATTCCAAGCAGTTCAGAATAAGGTTTTGTATCTCATGATGTAACACTTAATCCCTGGAATATAACACCTCAATTCAAATATCAAAGACCAATGTGCCAAAAGATAAAAACAAACAAATAAGAAAAATAAACCCACAAGCCAAATCCTAACCCTCTTTATAGTATTAAGTTCAATGGAAAGAAAAATTAAAGGAGAGCTCTATAAAAAAAAAAACTTCCCTCCGTGATAGTCAACTATTCTGAACAACAGAAAAAATATAAAAACAAATATGGAAGAAAAATTTCTGAAGTACAAGTGCTGTCCTCATAGAGCTAATATTGCAGACGTGCACAGTAAATGTAACTTACTTGCTAGCTTAGCTTGTAATCCTGATGGCCCAGGTTTGGAGGTCTCAGTTTTGGATGATCCAGGCAAGGACAGTTTGGGTTTTGGCAAATTGACTTTGGGGTTGAAGCGTGCTGCCCACTCAAATTTTGAAGAGCTGGCAGCTTTGGCCTGCTCTTTGTCACGTGTACTACGGCGTGGAGAGGGGCTAGATGCTGAGCGGGAGCGACGTGCCTTGGACTGGTCTTTTCCTTGTTTGACTCGGGCGCCTTGGGTGGTGGTGCTGTTGGTGCCTGTGGTAGAGGAAGAGGTGGAGGCAGAGGAGGAGGAGGAGTCTGTCACGTTGCTACACCCAGCTTTGGCTGAGGCGGCCGATTTAGACGCCAGCTTGGTGGGTTTTGCAGTTCTGCCCTCGGTACGATTGGGGAGGGACCCAGCGGTGCTACTAAGACCGGGGAGAGAGTCTGCTTTTTTCCGTTTTTGGATTGGCGAGGCCCCAGTGGCCACACTCTTCTTGCTCTGGCCTCGACCTGACGATGCAGGCAATTCTGAAGTAAGTGATCTCTTCTTGGACTTAACTGGGCCTTTCTTGGTCTCTGAGGTATTGTCTCGGGGTGACGGGAGCGATTTCGGCTTCTTGGCAGGGGTTGGGCCAAAGGTACTTATTTGGTCAGGAGCTTCACTTCGCTTCAGCCCTCGGTTGCCTTCACTCTTAGATTGGTGGCCTGGTCGCTCTTGTTCAGATGTTCCTGCAGCCTCTGGGTCGTCTTGCAATACAAATGAAGCCACGGACAGAGTAAGACCGCTTCTGTTAGGGTGGAAAAGACACAGAAGTCCATCTTAGAAGATTTATGAATCCTAAAAAGCAGAGCATTGTAATGCCACATTCACTGCCCTTTTTTTTCAGATTTTGATCAAAGTCCAAAAGGACAAAAAAAATGCATGACCCTATTTACACACACATACACACTAAGCACCAAGTAGAAAACACGGGTACCTTCTTGAGCTGTGCCCTCTGGACTGGCCAGTGGCTGAGCTGGCTGTGGCTTTGGGAGCCTTAGAATTAGGTCTTCTACTTTCAGGTGGGGAATTTGCTTTATGTTTTACCTGCTCTGACTGCAACCTGTAAGGTTGGAAATTAAAGAGCACGTAACAGTGTGGGTGTCTGTGATTAAGTTACTTATAAAGAGACTTGATCAATCTCCAAATCATTTTGCCTATCTCCATCTGCATATAATCTGGCCATTATCACGTCTGGAGATTCATGAAAAATAAAGCTAAAAGAGGGTTAATCACCGACTATGACAAAAGAACAAAGATAAGCTTCTCCTTTGATTACATAGGACAATTTTACCATTCAGCAAGTTAAAATACCAATTAACTACAAAGAGACACAACCCAAATACAAATTCCCCTCTACGAAACATTTCATCTATTGCTCTTTCAAGAAAGGTTCAACAACTGCTGCCCACAAACTACGGCTGCCTTTTAAATATTCTGATTTTAACTGGACAGTAAGGATGCAGATACACTCACCTTCCAGCGACTGTGTGGTCTTGTGGCTGGGCCGCAGCAGTGTTCCTCTGTGAACGGCGCAGTGACCCCCCTGGATTGGAATTAGGCCGGTTGGACATTGGCACCTCTCTCCTGAAGGGACATACCCTTTCTAGACACTACCATTCACTGTAATAAAGGAAAAAGAGACCACAAAAGAACATTAACAAAATACAAAGACCACCCTTAAACCTGCACCCTCTCACCACCACCAAGTTGTCTGTGGTTTAAAATAAGCTGCTGTCTATTGAGATTGCGTATCATTGAACTACAGGTTCACCGCTCTGGCCCCTTTGAGATGATCAGTGGCAAAAGTTTCTCAAGAGTGTAAATGAAGATGCAACATCTGGGTGGGGGTTGGCAGCAACAAAACATGCTAGTAAGTACATCCCCTCATAGCTGAAAATCAAAAACAGGGAACTAAGAACTTTTAAAGACTTTATGCTAACTATATTATTATGGCCCAATATGACCCGTTAAAAATAACTAAATCATAGCAGAGCACAGTTCGTGTTCCTAATCTCTCAATAACAGTCACAACAAAATGTATACTTCTCTGAATAACATTCAGTAAAATACAGCAGTGCTGTTAATATTAAACCTTACTGCCAATATCAAATTTTACTGAAATGTTTTAGTTTTTCCCCCTCCCTGTGCACCATGAATATAAAGCTATCACCAAGTACCCTACTTACGCACAGTATAATACATTTTTACACATTAGTACCTTCAAATCTTTGTCAGAAAGCACTACTGGAACCTTTTCACATAATTAAAATCATCAAAAGGATCATTTTACAATTTTCTTACAACAGCGAAAGATTCCTTTGTGTATTATTAACCAAGGTCACAGCCTAATTAAAATAAACATACAATACGGTAGACTACAAATTAATTCTTTTTTGGTTTCAGTTTAAGTCCTAAACTAACTGCCAACAGCAATTATGCTTCAAAATGACTACAGCATTGTATAAAATTTATATATCTGATCCAGTGTGCTTAGTGTTAGGGGTGCAGTACAATCTTAACAGTTTAATTGATCAGAATAGTACAGAAGTTTTCTTTTTAACATCAGAAGTGAATGCATGTATCTAACTCACAGGAGTCAATAAAGTGACAATACTGATAAGACAATTGATTAACTTGATCTAAACACATACAGGAAGATGATTTCATTATTTGCTAGACAAAAAACCATTGAATCCCTAAATAAAAATTTTTTTTAATTTTTTTCAAAAGCATCTGACTATTTAAGTCACAAGTTTAACTATGATATCACGGATACTGATGATAAAAATACGCCACACTTGCCAAGCTCACTGGGCCATGTTAGGCCTGCACTGACAGTGCATCCTAGTCTTTGTTATTCGTCCATTCTGACAACTGGTGTTCCCCACTAGAGTATAATGGTATTAGTTAAGCTCATCAAATGATTTACAGCCTCACATAGACCATCGACCCAGTTTATTTTACCACATAACTAAAACAAGAACTGAAGTGTCCGATTTTTTTATACCCATGATTTACAGAGGCCTATATTTCTGACGTAGTTGTCCACCACCACCGACTAACGCTAGCATGTTTAGCCACTTAATATCCTAGCAAGCCCTATACATTTTAACAATACCTCCATCGTATCGGTTTATTTATACAGAAAAGCTTCACACATCCAAAAGCGAAGCTTGTGGCGTTTACATCTTGAATCTACAAAAGAGAAAACGCTAGAAGACTTGCTAACTGCAGACCAGCAGTTAGTTAAAGTTACGCTGGCTAACGCAGCAACGGTTACACTGAAATGCGTAGTTGGCGTGCCGGTGTGTCAACCTATTCAGCTAGTACCCTAGCCAAACAAATTGTCACATTTGAGAAGCTAGCTTGTTTGTGTTACGAAACGACATAATGCTTACTAAATGGCAAATACGCCCCTCCAACTGGCGAATAACGATCGGGTTCATCCGAGATTAGCTTCCCGTCGAAAAAAGGCAACATCGACAAGACCCGTCTTTCGACAGCGGTTTAATGTAATAAAGCTAGCAGGCTACAAGTAAACTAACGCAAGCTAAGTTTGCAGTCGGATTGCCAGGACACAGTTCTGTGTGCGTGTGGTGGGGGGGCTGACAATCAAGTTTAGAGAAAAGAGAAATACGTTTGTGTTTCGTAAGCAAGCTCACCGTCTACGATTGATGGGGGTAAATAAATCCAAAATACACAACTGTCACCTAGACAGGTAACGACGCTGATACAGTTCTACACTCTCCTTGCAATTGTCAGCGCGAATTGTTATGTACAGATAGACTCCTAACTAATGTTGGTAAGCTATAAGGATGGCTAACAATATTTTCTGAGCTGACTTAAGGCCAGTGCCTCCCTCTCACTACTACAGCGCTGGCTAGCCTTTTAGCTACTGTTAGCCAGGAAGACAAGTTGACCACTAACAAACAGCGTGCCAACACAGCGCATGGTTCTTGTTAAGACTTGGGTAAATGGGACACATAACGCCAAACATCTCATTCAACTACCGTTAAAGTACCTTGCTCAGAATTCAAAGCGTCACGGCTAGGTTATCATTAGCAAGCTAATACTAGCCTAGCCACAGCGAGGGTTTCTTCAATGACCGTTTTCTCGCAAACAGTAAGCTGACAAAAAAATAAATAAACAGCCGGCTATTGGCTTTCAAATACCTCGCTGTTTTCAATTAAGCTGGGAGCCGAGATAACACCACATTACTAACCCCGTCGAGACCGAATTAGCAGCTACAGGACTGTCGCGCAGCTTACGATGTTTAATCAAACAAGAGCGTTATAGCTGTTACCAGCTAACCTTGGCATGCCAGCTAATTGACGTTAGCGAGCCTTGTTGTCGATGGCTAACATTTTGCCAGCTCGACAGGATGGTTAAAAGGATTTGTGTTGAAAACAGCGTTTTTGCCAACACCGCACCAATTCAGTGTTTATGATAAAGTTTTGATCAAAATTTCCCAAACATTAACAAGTTGTCTAGCTAGCAGTTAGCAAGTAAACGCTAACTAGCAAAAAGAAATGGCCCCTGATACCTTTAGACACAAAAAAAACAGGAAAGCAGGACCGGGATTCGAGTTATTTTCGCAACACCCATTCTTCCGATGTATTTCGAGGTTGAATACTGTTAAAATCCCAAAACACTGCAGGTTTAAATGTCAGTGAAAATGTCTACCTTTTGGTATAATGTTGTTACCTATTTGTTCCAGTGTTGTAGTTGTAACAGACAGTGCACCAGCTCCTCTTTTCTCTCTACCACTGCTAGTTTCACATCAGCTGAGGGGCCTACAACCGCAATATACCTCCGCGTGATTCATCCGCTCCGGGACTAGTTTGCTCCTTATTTTCTGTATCTGCTTGCTTTGGGTCAACAAAGCGAGCGCGAGCACTGGATCGGCTGCTCTTTCGAAACAAAGCTACGGGTTTCTAATGAAGACAATTCAACTATTTTTGTAGGCATCCAGAGACAGTCGCTGAATCACTGAAGTCATTGGTAACATTAGCTTGTCACAAATATTAAGTATCAATCCGCTGGGTCGTGACCCCCCCTCCTCCCCCCTTCAACAGACATACATGAAACAAGCATATCTGTAAAATTAATATGCCCCGGATAACTTTTTGTTATTATCCAACATCAATGATAAAGCAATCGGTCCGTTTCGTGAGTCGTTGTGCAAAGACAGTTTTAGTTGTCATGGCAACATATTTGCGTCCAAAATGGCGTCTTTGCTTGGGGAGAGACTGTTTGAAATTAGTGGTCAGGGTCCGCCGCCTCAAAAGGATTTTTTTCAACTTGTCATTACCAAAAACGAGGTTATGTATTAGGTCGTCTTTTTATATAACCGACTTTCGAGGAGTAACTGTATAAAGCGTGCTTATTTAACAACAATCCCTCTATTTGAGGCTAGCTTAATTTTCACGTCGTTTAGCTTTAAATATGGCTTTGCTACTATTTTCTAATATTTATGCTTAACAAATAACAAGCTAATAGCAAGATGTTTTAGTAAAATCATTCGCCCTGTTCCAGTAGCATATCGGCATCTTGTAGCCACTACTTCAAGAGAGTCTCCTGGATTAAAGTCTTGAAGTCCCATCTTTGTTTTTTCCCTCTAAATTTAGGTAATACTAACCTCATGGAGGATTTCTTTGCGACTTGAATGCAGAGGTCTTCCCCCAAATCAGCAGAAGATATCTCATCAGGACTTCCAAAATGATAAAACTCTACAGTGTAAGTTTTCTTCATCGAAATTATCACTCCCACTTCCATGAAGTTCTTGATAATATTCTTTTCTAACCTATTTCTGAATCTTGTTTGGGTTTATAATTTGACATAGAAACTTTTCAAGGATCTAACCGCAGGGCTGTGTTTGTTGACTTATCATCTGCAGATGAAGTCGGTGCTGTTTTTGGGCAAAGGATCCTGGATTACACAGCAGCACTGTGTCAAGGAAAGTTTGATTACCTGGAGCGTTTACCTGATGACATCATGCTCCGAATCATGTACTGCCTCGAGCTGAAAGACATGGCACTGCTGGCACAGACGTCACGCAGATTCAAAACGGTGAGGACAACGGTAAAGTACTGGATTTGTTCGATGATACAGAAATAATGCTTTAGTGTCTATTGTGCTTTTCTTGTGTTCAAATTCATTTGTATTCATGTGTATGTTGTGCTGTGCTCTAACCGGATTGTACCAGCTCTTCAGCTCTGAGAAGTTTTGGGAGCAGACTGTGAGGAACTGCGCTGGGTTTAACAGGGACATTGAGGACATAGCCAATGCCATGGGCTGGAAGCGCACCTTTCTAACTTTTTTCCACAACAGTGATGATAAAAAACAGCAGTAAAATATATATTTAAAAACAAACCCTTTTATTATTGTTCCAAAACAAGTAAAATCACACTGGCTCATTAGCAAACTAAAAAAGACTTCAATAATGAATGATGAGGGCTTTTTGTGTGCGCGCATGTGTGTGTGTGTGTAAAAAATGTTGTGAATATTCTCCAAAGCAAATCAGTACTTTTGCATTACAAAGGAAAATCTTGCTCGCAAGTTTTGTTTTGTTTCAAAGAGTGTGCGTTGTGTAAGATTCCTTGTAAATGACATTAAATTGGCACTTTGTGTCTGGATGACAACCTGGTGAAATTAAAACATAAACAAACTTACAGAAAAATACATAAGCAACTGAAGTCCTGCTGACATCATGTCATACTTCCTGTTTACATTTGCTGGTGAACTGCTGGCTGCGCCCTCTGCTGAAAGCCCTCAACCGGCCTCCGCTGTCTTTGCATACACAAGGCAGCCTGGCTTTCTGTGGGATCACTGAAGCAGCCAGCAGAGGGAGCAATGTCACAATGAAAACGTCAAAATGAGTCAGATGACAGGAGGAGGAGGAGGAGGAGGAGGGAAATCAAGTATGTAAAGGTAACGTGTGCAAAACAAGTGCTGTAGTTCTGGTTACCATATCAAGGCCTTAAAGACTCCAACTAACTTATTCTGGATTAAAAGCTTGTGCATATACGTGTGTAAGGACATCTGACACAGCAGTCCTACCTACCTCTCCTGAAACCTGTACCAGCAAGCTACAGTAACATAAGACAAAGGTATGCACTGTTTTTCTCTGTTTACAGGTACTTTAGAATCAGAGCTGGCATGTTATAGTAAATGTTAAAAGAATAACATAATACAGTCCTACTGTCATGTAAGAATGCCAAAAAAAAGAAACAAAACCTAAGTAAGCCCTTGTGTTATAACAAAAAGAAGAACACATGTTAAACTGCAGGTAGTTTAACATAAATGATCGTGCCTCCCTGCAATATCAAATATTTCTGTGGCCAAATGATAGCTGTGTGCCGGAGTGATCTGACATGACAGCATACAGCCCTGAATGGTGGGTACCATGACCTATTATTAGCCCCTGACACCGCCTTCTCAGCTGAGTCTGGTCTAGGAAAAATATTCATTACGTAACAATAAAGAATCTGTCTCCCAGACCCACTTCCCGAATACCACAGCAACAGCTAGGCCTCACTCTGAGGCATCAGCCACATCCATTTGATTACTGACGTGGTGTAGGGCTGTGTGGGTTTTTTCATGCTTATCCATTTACTGCACACATTCACAACACCACCCCTCCTTCTCAGTTCCTCTTTGTGGGTCAGTGATGCAGCGGGAGTGACGCAGCAGTAGCAGCAGCCTCCAGAAGGCAACTTCGCACAGCAGGAACCGGGAACCTCTGCCAGAGCCATAGTCCACAGACGGCAGTGACGAAGGGAAAGTGGTAATGGCCTGATCCGGGCTAGAGGAAGAATGGGAGCCGGGTAGTCGCTCTCCTCCTTCTAAACAAACACCAGAGAGGCTTCCACAGCGAAGGGACAGGCCCGGCAAGACCTTCCACACAAACATTTTGGTAGGCATCTCAAAGTACGAGTGCTTGTTGCGGCAGCAACATAAGTTGTCCAAGGGATGAATGTCTTTGTATGCTAAAGAGTGTGAATGCTTTGAGAATGAGAATGAGAATGAGGCCTACTCAGCCTTCTGCTGCAGTCTTTTCCTCTCAGCCTTTTCCCCGAAGAGCGTCCCTGCAGGCCGCAGCTGAGCTCACTGAGCATCAGAGGCGAAGAGGCCTGTTAACTTTGTCCTATGGTTTTAAACACATCCTAGCTGTAATGTCAGGGTTATGTTTACAAAATACCAATATGAGCACAAAACCTCCAGTTAGGACAGTTATTTTCTTTCTTATCATTTGCAGGCCTCTTTAAGCTTTAGCTTGAGACCTAACCTTGTAAATCCCAAAGCAACTGTGCCAAGCAATAAAAAAAATCAGCCTAGATGAGCCTAGATACCCTTATTAGGGTATCTAGGCTGTTCATACAGATGAGTTATTATTTAGGTTAAAACAATAAGAAGACCACAAAATGGGCTTTTTCTCATAAATAAGAAATAATTCGTTTTTCCAGCATCAGAATCTGCTGTCAGGTTTTTACGGAGGAGAAAACCTGAAATTAGACACAGACTACTAATATATACTGAAACCAGGGTTTTAATTTGACTTCTAATATCTCTTTGCTGTGAATTCGAGAACCACACAGGCGCTAACTAAAACAACAGGTGGCTGCTATGATTGGACAGAGCTGTCATACCAGGAAGGAAAATATAAATACATATATGTATATATGTCTTGAAAGTTCAAGGCAATCGTGATCAAGAATGATCTGTTTGATGTACCGCCCACTTTGTGACGTGCAAATCTCGATAAGCTTATTAAAAAAGCTTATAAACTTGTCTGACTAGTAAAAAAATGATGCTGTTCTTCCTCTTTTCAATATCTTGCAGTCTATAAATATTAATTAAATGCAGCTTACTGAAAAAGAGCTCTTAATGGTTTCTGCACACAGTGGAATCACACATGTATTTTTTAAAAAAGATGGTGGCAAACAACAACCTAAATGGTCTACATGGATTAGGTTTAATGTTTTATAAAGCAATAAATGTCTAGCCATTCTAATCTCCATCTTTTTATCATCAAGTTATTTCTTACTCTCAGTATGGGGACTTACTGATACACTACAGTGATGCAAAAAATGCCTTCATGGCAGCGATCATTACTCCAGTTTTAGCACGTTATGGGCCGGATTAAACGCTCCTAGCTTTCTTAGTCCAGAAGAAGGCTTAAGTAGTGGTGAGAGTCTAAAAACAAATGTATTAAACCACCTTCCCTCCCAGAAATGATGCCAAATGAAAGTGAAATCATTTTCACTGCATTTTCATTGCACTCTGGTGCTTTCCAAGAGCAGCCTCCGCAAACCGTTAACTTTATTTCATTTTCATTTTTTGTACACGTGTTTTTGTGACCACCTTATTCTGTTTAAATGTTACTTTGACATGTAGTAGTTTTACTGTACGGTGTAAGGCGCAGACAATCAAAGCAAAACAAGGTTACTGTGCAGACTTATTTAAATGCATCCATGCACACAAATTAACTTCTTCCAACCAAAGCAGGGTTCTCTCATTCACATGCGTGAGAGCGAGTAGATAAGGACTTCTCACAGAATGGGCGGATATTTCGACGCAGCATGATGAAGGTCAAACGAACCTGTAGGCTGACTCTGCTGAGAGTCAGACCAGAGAATACAAAGTAAACTTTACAGTAACACACACTGTAATTATGGCGTTTTCACCACAAAGCATTGTTCAAAAGCCTTAAAGGATCAGTCTGATCCAAGCATGAACTAAAAAGTGTCCAACCAATACCACTGTCATGTAGGGGTTTTTTTTCCTTTTGGTGTCAGGCAGTTTGTGTCTTTATATACATAAACTTTACTTTCTTTGCTTTACAAAGGTTAAAAGAAAACATCATCATTCCGCTGTCACTCTCAAACTGACTGCTTTTCTCATTTTTACTCTGAATCAAACAACTAATCCAAGTTTTAATGTTTGCTGCTACAGTAAAAATATGTTTAATCTGTCTTTTTGTTGCTTTACACTGTAAGTTCACACAAGCAGATATGTAGATGATGATATTTGAAAAGAAAACTGAACAGCGATGAGCGGAGGGCTGCGTGCCACGCCACCCAGAAATGGTGGCTATTGTGTGCATTCATCAAACCAAATTAATGTCATACAGCAAACACAAAAAAGGGGGCAGCAGTCACAGCTGTTAAGATTTTAAAGTTGGGTCTTTTAAGTGTGGAAAGCACAAACACTTAATGAAGAAAACATTCCCCCCTTCAGGGCGATGAGTAAGTGCATGCATAGTGATACAGCACCTGCCTCATTTCTGTCTTTTGAACTAAATAGTGCCATAAAAATGAAAGCTTTGATGCTTGCTGTTTGTTAAAGTGGATCTCAGTCAGGATGAGGAGGGCACAGTCATATGACTCCACTCTCAGCCGCGTAAATAAAACAGTGCTTCCGTCCTTAGAGGCTAGTGAGAAGCTCACAGAGCCATGTCGTGTTTAGCTTCCTCCCCTCCCCCTCCTCGTCTGCATTGCTGACGCATCTGCTGCCGGTGCATCAATCAGCAGCTTCTATGTAGGTATAAGCAGAGTCTCCGCTGAAAGCGGGACTCTCTCTTAGCTTTGCATCCGGTTTGCATGCTCGATGCAACTGTGAGAAAAAGCATTGATGAACATCTGTCCGCTGACTAACAAAGCTACACAAATAGGACAGTGCCATCTTCTCTTAGCTTGTGCATTACCTAACCACAGTGACTGCGTAAGCACAGACGAAAACCTTTGGTGTAATGTATTGCTGCACCGGCAAAGACAGACAGATAGTGTAGCGTCATGCATTTAAGGTGCATGCTCTTTCTAAGTGGGCTGGAGATGATTTTATGTCATGCATTTTTGGTCAACATCGAGCTGCATCGAGATCCCGCTGGTGCGGTGCTGGGGAGATTTAATAGATCGTCTGCTGTACAGCAGAGGAACCCTTCACTCTATGCTGCTAATAGCAATGCAGCTCAGCGTTTTCTCTGGCGGTGCATTCGAGTACAGAGCTGGTGTGTGATGTAGCACCCTGCATCTCTCCGCTCTCCCTACAACCCTCTGCCATGCTTAATAAAAGTTGCCGCTTCCTGCTCAGTGGCTCCAGAACGAAAGCTTCAGTTGCCCAGCCAGCACAAAAGCAGACCAATACTCCGATTTAGCTACACGCTGCTTAAACCGTGAGTTATTCCTATAGCTTGTAGCAGGACAGAAGAGGGACAGCCAGAGGAGGGCAGGGCAGATCTAGCCCAGGACTTGGGCTGCATGGATAGAGGCGAAGGACGTTGGAGCCGGAGTCATCTTCATACAGAGAGGGAGGGAGAGGAAGAAAGACGTCAGAAAAAGCTCTGCTTCTGACAACACCACTGTTCAGCGACC